GAATTCGACGTCCCCCAGATAGACTGCAGTTATGATAAAGGGGGAGGGATGTAGTATATCGAAAACTACCGATGGGGTACATTATAATCGGACTTAAAGCTGGCACAGCTTCAGGCATCGAAGCGGGCGCAGTAATAAGAGAAGGATTGGGATGCGAGTAGCTGTAGTTATGAAGTAGCTGTAGATATAAGTGTGTATGCGAGTGATGATATATTTTGTATATATTGTTGCGTACGTACGGGTTCGTTATGAAATGAATGCACAAATCCGATGAAAAATGAACAAAAATTTATTATTATCACAACAAAAATGCTTAAATTTTCTCAAATTATCATGCAGTATTACAATATCTCACAGTAGTTATCTTTTAACTACTCAAATGTCCAATAGAACGTAATTCAAAACAGCTAAAGAACGCTAATCCGCGAATTCGCTACAATCAACAACAGCAGTTTTCTAAACAACAACAAACTAAGCAACTACTACAAACTGAGATGTTTTCCTCCTTTTATAAGATTTTAAAATCACGCGCTAGAATTTTCCAGTACTTTCTCGAAATCAAAAAGAGATATTTATTTATTTAATGCACGCGCTTTTGTATTTTCAATTTTCCGGCTTAGCTTTCTTTTAATATTCGTCACGCGCTGCACTGCGCGAGAAATAAAACCATTTAATTTATAATTAAACTAACATTAGCTTTTTAAATACCAAATTCGTAACAATATAATAAAAGTAGCATGTAGTTGAAAAGAGTGTGCTTTGTGAAATAATTACCCACTTAAGGATACACGGTAGAAACAAAGCGAAATTTCTGTCTTCCTAAGGTAGAATTGAAACGTTTTGATGGTAATATTAAAAACTGGCTAGGATTCTGGGGACAATTTTAAAAAATTCATGATGATGATAGCATTGATGCAGATGACAAATTTCAGTATTTTTTACAAGCAACTGAAGAAGGTTCATTGGCCAGAGATTTAGTTGCAAGTTTTCCGCGATTTAACGAAAACTATTATAATGCTATTGAACAACTGAAATCTTGTTTTGATAAAGATGAACTATTAGTTCAAATTTATGTTCGTGAACTTTTAAATTTAGTTTTAACGCAAGCGAAAAACGGCGAAAATTTTACTTTGCGGGTTCTTTATGATAAACTGGAGACTCAGCTGCGAGCTTTAAAGACTTTAGGAGTAACGTCTGAAAAATATGAAGCAATGCTGTATCCCTTAGTAGAATCAGCTCTGCCAGAAGTTCTCATCAAGGAGCGGGAACGCACGCATAACCGTGTAGAAAATAAAGACAAGATGAACATACTAATTCAGAAGTCAAACAACAAAAATCAGCGTTATGTTTACAAAATTTTCACAGGACTAGTTTCGATGGTTTTACCGAACCCATCATCTTCAGCTGCAAAACCGCAAATGATTTTTGTTGTTTGACTTCTGAATTAGTATTTATTCGGCGTGTTATTGTGTCTTAAGATGAACATGTTTAGGAAATTTATTAGAATTTCTTCGTTTGCAAGTCGAAAGTGAAGAGCGGTTACAACTTGCTCGATCAGGGTTTGCAAATGATGAATTTGAAAAATTTAAAATGAAAGAAAAAATTCTCACTGCAGCTTGTATTGTATCTAATGAAAAGCAAAGAGCTGAGAAAAATGTCAACCAATGTTTATTTTGTAATAAGTCGTTTCATAATACCTCAGAATATTTTAAGGCTGCCGAGATGTCATTGGAGGCGAAAAGGGAAACAGTGAAGAAAAGGGGAGCTTGTTTCGTCTGTTTGAAACCAGGACCAATTCTAAGATCTGTAAAGCTTATTTAAAGTGTATTATATGCAAGAAAAAAGACCATAGCATTATGTGTCCAAATAGAAATCAATCAAAACAAGACAAACAATCTGAATCGAATGCACAAGTTCTTTTATCACCAAAAAATTCTCCAACGTTCCAACGTTATTGTTAACTGTATTGGTGAAAATCATCAATGATGACAAGTCCAGAATCGTTCGCGGATTATTTGATACTGGTGCTCAGAGATCTTTCATACGAAAAGATATTGCGAAGAAACTAGGATTGAAACTTGTAGATCAAGAAATGATGAGTCATGGACTTTTTGGGGGCAGTGAAACTAAACAAGAGTCCCATAATGTCTACAATATTACATTACAAAGCTTGCGTTTAAATTTCAATACACTATTTCAGTTTTGGACGAAAAGAAGATATGTGGTGCAATTCCCCGAGTAGAGGATCCCCATATGTATCCAATTTTTAAAAAGGAAAATATGCATTTAAGTGATAGAGAATATGTGCCTGAAATAGCTTTATTAATAGGAGTAGATTATCTTGGCGCATTATTGACTGGGAGAAATTAGCCCATTGATAATAATTTGGTAGCTTTTAAAACAAAACTTGGATGGACACTTCAAGGTAAACAAAGAAACCACTCAAAATATTTGGAGAGTATTGTATATGCTAATAACTTAGATTTGACGGAATTATGGAGCCTAGATGTTATCGGTATAAGATGTCCTGTAGAAGTAAAGGCAGGTAACGATGAAGAAACGGTGGATTTTTTCCCGTAAAACTATTATAAGAAACGAAGATAAAAGATATGAAGTATGCTTGTCATGGAAAAGTGGACGTCCAGAATTAGAAACGAATAAAGAATCAGCCACTGAGCGGTTAATGTCAATTACCAGAAATCTCATTGGATCTGGTCATTTAAGAGAATACGATGATGTGTTTAATGAGTGGGTCCAGGATGGAATTATTCATATTGTAGATAATGACGAAAAAAAGGGACATTATTTACTACATCATCCTGTGATAAAAACTGGTGTAACAACAGCAAAACGTAGTCCGGTTTTTGGTGCATCGACGAAAGATTCCAAAGGAAATTCCTTGAATAACTGTTTAGAAAAAGCGCCAAATTTGGTACCCAAATTGATAATGCAGTTTCAGAAAAATGCAATTGGCGTAACATCAGATATTAAAAAAGTATTTCTACAAATCAGTTTGAATCCAGAGGATAAGGATTATTTTAAATTTCTGCGGTGGAAGGAGTTATCGAGACGAAAAGAAATAATCACTCTCCGACACTGTAGAGTGCTATTTGGTGCTTCTCCTAGTCTATTTTTATCTGAAGCAACTATAGCTTACCATCTAGAGAACGCTTCGGATAAAAGGAAGCAAACAGCTTGTCGACTCAAAGAATCTTTTATGTGAACAATTGTATTACAGAAGTTTTCATTATGGCTTTAAGAAGCTTCTTTGTTCGAGTAGGTAGAGTAAATATAATCTACACTGACAACGGTACAAACTTCATTGGTTCAAGCAATGCTCTAAGAAATTTAGATTGGGAGAAGATCACTTGTTTTCCACTATCAAGAAAATCAAATGGAATTTTAACCCTCCAGCAGCCACCTGGTGGGAGCGCATGGTTGGAATCTTGAAAAAGATGTTAAGAAGAATTTGGGACAGGAAAAGTCTTGACTATGAAGAGTTGGAAACTATTCTATGTGACTGCGCAGCTACAATAAACTCTAGGCCACTTACATATATTGAAAACATTTCGGAAGGTCTGAAGCCATTAACTCCCGCTTGTTTCTTACAAAGTATTCCTAGCAGTGAAACAACTGATTTAGACGAAATCGACAGTAAAAGCCTAAATATAAGATTGCGTTTTGTGCCAAAATTAAAGCAGGACCTAAGAATGAGATTTTGGAATGAGTATTTAGCAGTGTTGATTCATAAAGGTAAGAGCGGGGGAGAATCTTTAAGAGTTGGAGAGGTGGTTCTCCTAGAAACTGATGGCAAGCGTATCAACTGGCCTTTAGGAATTGTCGTTGAAGTCTTTTCTGGAGCAGATGGGCACTCATAAGTTGACAGAGTGAGAACAGCTGATGGAGAGAAGTTGAGATCATTCCAGATTTATACGTTAGAAGTCAACGGTTCGGAAAAGTTACCAGTCATTGCCCAAGATGCTCGAAGGGATAAAAGTGTCTCTAAGAAAATGTCTCTACCCCCTGCAGCTAATGATTCAGATTCCAGTGAAGATGATGATTTATCATCCAAAGTCCCAGAGTTTGTTACTAGGAGCTGGTCGATGTGTTAAAATTCCCAATAGACTTGATTTATAACTTTTGTTGCAATTTATAGGTATCCTACAATTTGCAAAGTGGGAGATTGTTTAAGTAATAGCAGCTACAACTCTGTTTAAGTTTTATGTTTTAAAAATAAGCTCTGTCGTTTTGTAAGTATAACTGCTTCTAATTTTGTAAATATCTGCAATTAAAGTGTTTTGTTTTTTCATGTTAAATCCATAGTTGTTTTCGAATCCTTCGGTTGTAATAGTTTACGCGAACATTAAAAAATGTCTACTCTTTTTAATATATATAAAGGAAATGTGTTCTCTTCTTTCTACATGTATAAGAAAAGGAACACATTTCCCTTTCCAATCTTTTGAAAGTCACCACGCTTAAAAAAGGATAAACTACACCAACATAGTAACCCACCTTAAAAAAAAAAAAAAAAAAAAAAAAAAAAAAAAAAAAAAAAAGTTCACTACAAACAGACTTTAGCAGTTCGCGTACTTAGGATTCCTTCTTTTCGATTCAGTTCAAATGACGGATCCGACAACTCAGTGCGAATGCGTTGTTAAAGTTGGCGCGTTTGTGTGTGAGATTATGACAAAGTCTTGAGGGCTATCTGCCTAAGGGGAGGGATGCCTTCGTGGAGGACTTTATAAGGGAAACTGGCTCGTATACATGTTACACATGGGGAAAACCACAAAAACGCCAATGCAGCCAGCCCGTCCGCGGGATTCGGACCGAACTACCAGTGTTCAGCGACTTTACCGTTCGACCGCTGGCGGGCCCTAATGTTGGTGCGAATAGACTGAAGAGACTAATCGCACTTCTGGTCCGAGTAGCATCGGCCTTGAAAATCGCTGTTCTAGCTCTATAGCTTGATTTTTCGTTAAGCGGGTAGAAAGACTTAAATAAACGTGCACGAAAGATAAATGTTTGAACTCGTTGTGTTTACTTCTCATGACAAGAGTTTAGTAAGCAAGTTGATAAAGGCGCTTAATTTGCGTCTTTCCTTAATTCAGTGCCATGTTATACAAATTTTACTCAGTTCTTTGTTTTCTGATCATCATCGTTGGAAGCTATGGAGATAATACACCTGAAAAAGCTAAAGAACTTATTGTTGAATTGAGTGATGAAAAATGGGATCAAATTCAGAAGGGACAGTGGTTGGTAGGATTGTAAGCAAAAATATTTCTATTTGTTTTGCCGAGATATGTAAATTGAATTTTTGAAAATCTTGCCTCATTACATATTTCATCAGCGGTTTAAAGGTCGTAATCTTGCCACTTTGTAAAGAATATATTAATCTTCTTATAGGATGGAAAACTACTATAATAATAATCCAAATCTGCATAAACATTATTAATGATTCAAAAATTTTAAAAGAAATAAATGAAAATGAGGTCTTAGGATCCTAATTCATTTAAATTGAAGATTGTGATTTAGCTGTGAATAATCTAATCAGTATTGTTTTATGGGTATTTGTCTGTTATCGGGACCGGATTAAAAAAAATGTGTGTATGTATGCATATATGTAGGTACACCTTGCACGAAAAACATGGGACAGTTTTATATCTCCCGTTCTACTGGACCAATCATCGAAATTTAACTTGAGTTTTCCATCTCTCGAAAGTGCGAGTTATGATATATATTAGATTTATATATAGTTTTGTTCTAACATAGGTATTTTGTCACAAAATTAGACGTTTTCTGAAATAACATACCAAATTTTTTCCATATCTCAATTCTATGACTCAAACTATGCCAAGATATTAAATTTTGTCATTTTTGATGAGAAATATATGGAGAAATTTTAAAATTTATCTTGGCAAATTTTTTTTCAGATTGCACCAAGAATAATTCACTTGGCAGACTTCTTAATTTAAAGCAACCTATTTTCCGAAACATTTTTGTTATTTTCGCTTGTATTAAATACTTCAAATTTCAAAACATGCCAAAATGTAAATTCACGCATATCTTAGAGGAAATTTGCAATAAAAAACTCTTTTTTGCAGATATGCTTAGGATTATACCTACTTTAAGATGATGAGAAAACTTTTCTAGGTTTTAATTCAAAATTTTTGAAAAATTATAAAAGTTATTTAAAAATATGAATTTTAAAAATAAATCATAAAAAATAGGAGAATTTTATTTGGAATGAACGTAAATTTTGAAGTATGAAAGGAGGAATCAAATAAGTTTAATAAAAAAGAGATATTAATAAATATATATCAAATTGGATTAACATTGAGAAGCTAAAATTTTGAGAGACAATTTTTTTTAAAACTACTCATGCGATTTTTACAAAACTTGGCAGTTTGCCATAATTTGAGTCATTGAACCAAAATATTTAAAAAAATTGGCATGTCATTTCAGAAAAAGCATGATTTTGTGTCAAATTACCTGTATTAGAACAGTGTTATATATAAATCTAATAAATATCCTAAATCGCACTTTCGAGACACGAAAAATGCAAGCTGAATTTTGTCAATTGGCCCACCAGAATGGGAGATATGAAACTGCTCCCCCTTGTTTTTTACACAGTGTACCTAAATATTGATGTTAAAAAAATTGGTACTGTTCCGTTTTGAGGACTGTAAAAAATTGCCAAACTATTGTTGATGCCAGTGCTGCCAAAAATAATTGCGGCAACCCTAATGCAAGAAAGGAGTATAATAGAATAACTATCTAAGATTATTGTTTTAATTTAGATAAAAGGTTAATTTCTTGTAATACTTTTTTATTATTATAATTTATATAAAAAGCAAAAACATAACTGAATGGAAGCATAAGAATAAATATCTATTTCAGATCATTATTATAATTTATATAAAAAAAGGCTAAACATAACTGAGTGGCTACCAAGTTATCGCTAAAGCATTGTTTTATCTCGTTGGTTGTTCAAATATAATTTTCTATAATAAATCATGCCTTTTCTTTGAAAAAATTCTATTGCAGACTTTTGTCACTGGGCAATTCCCAAGTTGTTAAATCCACAGCATTATCAAAAAAGGATTTAAAAATTTAACTAGTATTTCAATGGCATCTTAAGGAATACAATCAAAAGTCCGGACGTCCATAATCCGGACCTCAAAGCTATAAACTTTCTGTGCATGCGTAAATGCATTATGCATTTACGCATGTGCATAATACCTTTATGTATGTGCATCTGCGTTTACGTGTGCACATATTACGTTTACGCATGCGCATTTAATGTATAATGGACGGTATAAGCTAAGCTAAAATTATCTAATTATCTATTTCAGTTAATGTTGCAGATTGCGTTGTTCCTTAATCTTCTAATTGGCTCTGGCTTATTATTTTTTGCAGACTGTTGAGCAATTTTATAAAAGTAAGTTTGAACTTTCATTTATGTGAAAAAGAATTTCCGATTCTGGAGCTGCCAAAGGATCTATAAAGCGAAAGCATGTTTCGATGTCCATCAAACAAAAAGTGGAATTGCTGCAAAAAATGGATAAAGGGCATATCCTGTGTTTCTCTAACCACTCCGAAATCTGTTTATCAATTTCAATTTCACTCTGCTCTGCGGGACGCGCACTGAACTGCAAGTTGATCTGTCAGCACTATCCTTATCTTCAGGGCAGATGTTTTTTATTTTATTCGGGTTATAATTCCTTACTAAATGTTGTATTTCATCTCGATGTACTTCCATCTTTGATATAATTTAAATCAAATTCCTTCATCATTATAAATATCACAAATACACATCAAATAGTTTTCTGGTTGCAATTTTCTAATTTCGACTATGCGTAATGTATGCTTTATGCATGCGCGCATTGAAAGAAATGTTTAAAGTAAACAAATAAATATTAAGCTTTTTTTTTTTTTTTTTTTTTGTAAATTTTGATACCCTTTAGATCATAATTGCTCTTTATTTCATAAATTATGATTTCATATTTTTAATTTTATAATTTCTGCGTGCCATCTTACCAGATTTAAACTGATGATCTATAATCCGGAATCGCCGAAGTCCCGATGAGTCCGGATTAAAGACTTTTGACTGTATAAAACTATCTAATCTCACGAAATTTGAAATCGGCGTGTATGCTAGATTTGACACGCTGTTAAATGGATGCGTTTGCTAGATACATTTTTGCTGCAATTTTTTTTACGGTCCTCAAAACGGAATAGTACTGAAAAATTTAATTTAATGATTAATTTAATGATAAGTATTTAATGATTTTTTAGAAAAAATGATATATGTGACAGTGCCTCCTTAATACAATGTGACAAAATATTCTTTTAAACACGTTTATTTTATTTCATATACAATTAATTATTGAGAAATCAGTAAAATAGAATTATATACATAATTTTCATTAATGTTTGAATAAGGATTTCCTTCATTTTCTTAATTTTTCTTTAGTTTTGATAAAGATACGAAAGAGAGTTCACGCTTAGAAGAAGACTGGAATGTGTTTGCTGTGAAATGTAAAGAACAGAATATCAATGTTGCACGAGCATATTCATCAGAAACACCTGGTAAATATAACTAAAAGAAAGTCTCTTAAAAAATTTTTAGATTTCTGCAACCCATTGAATATCTGAAGTTAAATTGTTTAATCTTTTGACATTCTGTAAAATTTCTGTAAATGTGATGGTTAATAAGATATATATGCTAGTATAATAAATGTACAGTAAATGAAAGTATGTTATTTCAATAATGAATGTATTGAAATACACACATACTCATTCAAAATTGGCATTCTTTAAAGTATTACAAACTATTATTAAAGGGAAACATGTGAAACAGCGTAATGATACTTCATTAGCGTATCTACTGTATGGGCTTCAGCATTCTGTATTTGCTATTAAAATCCTTTACTAAAGCACAAATTGAATGGACTGTTAAATTATAATGATGTATACTTTCCTTTGCGTATTTTCATGTGTCTTGTGCTATAAATATCCTGAAACTATGTAATCAACTCCTGCATAACTGAGTCCTGTCTAGAAAACCAGAGTTAAATTTATTTTTTGTAGAACAGTAAAAAGTTACTATCACAAACCATCAGTGTAAAGCAAAACTGTCAACAGAAAATACAAAAAGAAAGAGAAAAATGCATTGTATAGCAGATGGTGTCTGCCAGATAAACTCGATAAAAAACAGAAAGTTTTAATTTTTTTTAAACACAAGTTCGAATACAATGACATAATTTTTAAAGAGAACAGAGTTTTTTTAAGCCAGAGATTGAAAAATCTGCAATGCACTCTTCAGAATTCAAACCACAGATTTTTCATTTGCCTGCTGGACATGCAACCAGTTACAACATGAGAGAATACATTAATTCCTTACATTCAGCCGTCTTTAAAGGTCATCTGGGGAGAGGATGAAACATAGTTCACCAAAATCCTGTGTGATGGATTACACCCACTCTCATTTAGTTTGAGCACCATTGTAGAGCTGTTAAGGGCTGTTCCCACTGGGGTTTATCTGAGCTAACAGAATCAGTTCCATGTGTCAACTAGTTCCGCTATGCCTGCAGTTCAGATTTTTCAACTTGCTGCCCTATGGAGAAAAATTGGTTTTGGTGATTGGTCAGCTATGTCGGCTGTGTCCCTTAGGTCAGATAAACCCCAGTGGGAATGGCCATTTAGATCTTTTAGAAACAGGAAACTTAAAAAATCAGCTATGCACTCATCAAGATACAAACAATACATTTTCTATTTGCTAACTGGATGTGCAGACATGCATTTCTCTTCCTTTCCTCGACATTTTAGTCACATGCAACACATCCAACTTCAGTACCACTGCTTACCATAGACCCTTCATTGGTTTGCTTTCCACCACACTTCAAATCATGTTATTCAACTAAACAAAAGTTAGCTTCATTTTATTCCTTTGTTTTCCATGCACTTCAAGCTGGCTCTTGATTAAGAACTAAATTATTTAAAAGCAGTAGCTATTGATAGGGGCTTTTCACCGAACATTATTAACCAAGCAGTTAAAAAATTCTCATCTTAACACATCAAAAGGTACAATCTTGTTTTAGGTGATTATAGGAATTCTGTTGTCATTCCTTTCTTTCCATCAATTAGCTATAAAATTCCACATATTGTACAGAAATTTAACTTTCAGGTCATTTATTCTCATAGGAATAAAATTCCGAGTCCCGTACTTAAGGACCCCATTCCAGATATGAATTCCTGGGGTATTTACAGGCTTCCTTACCAATATGGTTTAATTTGCATTTGCCAAACTAAGAGAGCCTTAAAATTTTGCATTAAAGAACATGAGGCATAAATTAGGAAAAAGGAAAAACTGTTGCACAGCATTGTTGGTCTGAAAATCACACTTTCTATTTTTCTGCAGCCAAAATTATTAAAAATCTTCCATTGGTGAGTTAGACTTTCTAGAGGCATTTCACACTAAAAAACACTTTCTGTTCTAGTTAATGACCCTAATTCCAACCCATCTTTACCTTCAGCCTTTAAAAAAAATGTTTTAGTTTTCTTGTTTCATCAATAGATGGCACGAGTAGATTAACCCCTGCTCAGCCATTCTTATCTTGTCTGGTTCATTTGCACTTTTATCGAAATTAGTCCTGTGAAAATTTGCAAATATAATGCTGATTTTCGTTGTTTGTCCTTCTAAATTAACATAGCTCTGCTGTAAAAAATGTACAGGGGTATATGTTCATCGATCATTGTTCCTCCCCATATCATCACACCTGCAACACCAAAGCAGTCACATTCCATGAGGTTCGAAGGAAGATTTGGTATTACTGATTCCCTCTAGGTATAAACATGTTTGGAATCAGATGTTAAACTAAACTTCCGCTCATCAGCAAAGAGAATATGGGACCATGGGTGTTCATTCAAATTCAGATGTTTTTTGAACCAGTTAAATTAATCTCTCTTTTGTTATGAAGATTGTGAAACATGTAACCTTGGCTTCCTAGCATAAAGGCTTTTTCATTAAGCCTTCTGCATAAAGTATGCTGTGATATAACAGTTCAAATGGTGGCTGCAGGTTCTGAAAGTGTAGTTGCCAAGTAGTGGACTTTGTGTTGTAACAGGTAGTTATGCCACATATTGATCTTGAGAAGCTGTTATTCATTAACAATCTTATTCATTAACAATCTTGTCCAAGTCTCCTTAACAGTTCCAGAGTTCTAAATTTGTTTGTATAGTGCATTATTTTTGAGCATTTTGAGTCCTTACATAGGATTACAGAAATTCACTCCGATATTAACTTTGCACAGAGTGCTTGATTCACTGTGAGAAGATGTATTGCCTTGATTTGTGGATCAGAAAGCATCTAATCATTTATGATTGGATAATGCTAACTAGGTTTGCCTTTCACATTTTTTTCACATTATTTTTGGGTACCTAAAGATAAATTTGGACACTAAAATATTGTTACAGTCAATTAAATTTTATGTTTCATATCTTTTTACTGTATCCAAAACAATTTGAAATAGATTAGGTAAATGAATGAAAAGTATTCATAGTTAGTTATAGAAATTTTTTTACACAAATTAAAAAATTATAAAAAATAGAAAATGAATTTTAATTCTTAAAACTTATGGTGAGTGCATTTCAAATCCTTTCATAAATTGTAATTGCAGTATACCTAAAAAAATGAATATTGTTAATTATGGATTGTTCATTTTGGTATAAAATTGCAAACGGAGTTAAAGCATTGAAACATAAATTGAAGAATTTATTTACAAGAGGCATTCGGTAAATTTTAAGCCTAACAGACATTTGTGATATAAATGTCCAAAGTATTTTAGTTTTCTGTGTAATATCAGTGAACTTAATTTAATACTTTTATTCCTAAATAGTATCTTTCATATGATCATTGCCAGTGTAATGTGAACCATGCAAATATTGCTAGTTTTTATTTATTAGTCCATTGGGGCAATTTGCCCGAAGGACTATTAATTTCGTTTTGGCATTTTGCATTGATTCACTACAAGCATTGTTTCACTTTTCAAATTGTTGTCACCAAGTATTATCACCCTGTATTATATTTAAAGAAATTAAATAATGAAGAATCTGCATAAATGTATGTCTGTTCGTCATATTGTGCCTAAACAACGGTACCTAGAGCCATCAAATTTTGAATAATATAATCCTCCTGTGAATATGGGCATCTGGAAGCCCAAATTTGGAATTTGTTTTATTATCAATTTCATATTTTGTAAAATTTTACAAATTTTTGATTAACAAACTCAGCATTTCAAAGCGAGCAATGGCAATGATGTACAGAAAAAGCATTATTGTGGTAGCACATGAAACTGTGTATCAGAAATTATAAAGATATGCTCTTTTTAAAATTATTTTGCAAACTGAATTGAACTGAATTTTATGGTTTAAGTGCGAAGAACATGATATTTAATAAATAAAGGTAACACACAAAATGTTAAAAAAATGTCCTTTTGGATGTAATTTAAAATCTGAAACCTTTCAGATTTTTTTTTTTTTTTTCTTAATTTTTTTTTATTTATTTATTTTAAAGTATTTTAGAGCCATTTCTGGTTAATAAGGAGTATGTGAGATAGGCTGAAATTCACTTTGCTGAATACTTATGTAAAATTTAAAATCCTACAAGTATGCTCATAACACAATTAAAGGAACTTTTTTTCTGAAGGGATAAATTTAGGCTTTGTTGGCACTGTAAATCTGTGTTCATTCCTATTATTCAACAAAACAACAGCTTGTATAATAAAGTAATCGACAGTGAAAGATATCCTGCAAATTACAGCTACAAAATTTTCGAATATATTTACCAACCTCAAACCAAATGCCACATACTGTTCAATATTTCATATGAATGACTTCTACTCTACAATGACTTCTACTTACTTTATTATTTTTGTTGTAGAATTCTATCACGGCTGGCTGACTTATCAGTGTGCTGAATTGCAGTGTGAAAGGTCATGAGCTTCGACCTTACTCATAGATATCTCATTTTGGAATTTTTTTTTCACATTTTGCATCCTTATATTCATCATCACTATCTTTTCTCATGTATTTTTTTAAATGCATTTCCTATATTTAATCCTGAATCATTTTTGTTCTTATTTTATTTGAAATTTGTTTTTAATTCTAATTTTAAAATGTTCATTATACAGTTATTAGTAATTAGTTGTGTACTGATTTATCTGCATCTTTTTCTCTGTTGCATATTTTATTTTGTATATAGTTGAACGTAACCACCCTAGAGTTTAAACGTCATCCTAAATACGAAAATCAAAAATGTATACCAAAAATGAAATTATTTACTTTTTTAAATGTGGCAGCATCGGAACTGTCAATTCCTAACAGATGATGAACATTATGTTTTAAGCCAGTAAAAATATTTAATGTCAATAAGAAAGAATAAAATAAATTTCTTTAGTAAGCTAAATAAATGAATTTAATCATTAATTATTTGAAAGAAAGAATACTACAATACAAATTCTGAGGTCTGGGATCATCATAATTCTGGTGAATCCGGATTTAATATCATCAGTTCAAATCTAGTAAGATAATATGAGAAATTATAAAATTTAAAATATTCTTAATCAGTGAATTCATGGAAGAGTAATTTTGCATAAAAAAGGGATTTTTTTCGAATTCACTGAAATCACATTTTGATTCTGGTAAAATAAAAATTATCAAAATGGCAATATATTCTGATTAAAAACAATATTACAGATATTTGCTGTTCTGTTAATTGATTGATGATTGAGGGATTGTCATCACAATGTAAGACATCAGTTGTATCATCATCATTTAGCATTTCTGCTCATATTCCATTGATCAGGAAATTTTACTTTTTGCTCATGATATCCAGAAACCTTCAGATTTGTAGCTTTCACCCTGAAATTTATTGGTAGCTGTTGGTAGATGACTATAAATTATGCCTGTCATTTAAAAAATAGCTTCTTGATACATCCTATCATGATTTTGCAATGTCCCACATATCAGATTTTATAATAAAATATTTCTAGAAATCTTGGATGGTTTTCTGCTGTATTGTTTATTTACTTTATATCTGCATTTCTATTTTCATTTATTAAAACTGTAATTTTGATAAGATAAATAGTAAGAAATAGAACAAAATTAATAATAAACTGCTTCAAATCAGAAAGTTAAGAGTATAATTTGCTATAGGAACTGAACATAAGTTCCTTGGAATCTAATTTTGAACCAATGCCAACAAAAGAAAATGAGTATGGATAACATCCCAAATAAGTTTGTCTTGGGAATTTACTTATTGTTTAGATTAAATAGAAAATTGCTAAATCACTCACAACCTCTCAAGGGTCAAAAGTATCATCATAATATTAGTACAACATCAGTCAATGTATTATCATTGGTCAGGGTGCAATTATCTTGTCACTAGGTGTTTATAAGTGATATACAGGAATCTCAATTAGGGGGAAGGAAAATCTTTTTTAATAGCAGTCACTTTTTTCTTGAGTATTCTCCATTCCTAAACCTTGTAAGGGGGGGAATTTGCTAGTGGCCGGGAAGTTCAGGTATTAGAATATTTAGAATATTGGACTCTGTTACCAGAATTGCCAGAAAATGTTTAAGTGTTTCATTCACCTTCTTAGCATCTTGTGTATTTAAAGAAAAGAAAAAGGCCTCAAAAACTAAAATTATCTTTCTCTCCCCCCCCCCCCAATTTAAAAAAAAATTAAGCTTACAGTTATCACTAAAAGTAAACCAAGCAATATCTTAATTAATGCAGATGAAAGGTTTTATTCACGTCTGATATTCACAGAACATAAATATTTCTGCAGAGTTATATTTTATTGTGATTATAAGCACATTAGTTCAGAAATATTAATTTTTTTAAATGAAGAATTTGGGAACATTTCATGTTACAAAAATAAATTAAATCACTTAGAAGCATTACGAATCAAAATTTAATACTCAGTGAGCATATATATTTTTTCTTTTTTTGTTTTGTTTTTGTTCTCTTTCTTTTTCCTTTTTTTACATAAAAATTACTTTATTTCTGTCTTTTTTCTGTTAATATAATTTTCTCCATATTCTATTAAATTTTAATTTGAAACCAATAGATTTTGCTAGGAGAGCTTTTACTTTCTAATTTATATGTGTGATAATATTTAGAGAATGATCAAATTATAAGGCACTTTATTTATTATGCATATTATTTTACAAGACCAAGAAATTTGTAATAAACAAGCACTGTCTTTCACAAACATAAATTAACAAGAGAAAATGTTAAATTGAACTCTAGGTATAAAATCTGAACTTTTTTTTTTTTTTTTTTTGGTTGTTGTTTCGGTAGATGGCCTTTCAAGTCATGTTATAAAATATGCATTTGAAAACATTTTTCTTGATGTTAATTTGCATTAAAATTTTATTATGCTTATAATAACTGTTTGCTGGTATTATGTGTCTTTTGTCAATTTGCTGACTATATGAAATTTCAAACGTAATAAAATGAACTGAATATAACACTGCTTGAAGGGACTGTAAAACAGCAGATGAAATGTTTCACACTTACAACCTTTTGTGTATGTCATGTAATTTTTTTTTCTGTTCAATAATTCTATGGGATAATGCTCTATTTATTTGGACCAATTTGTCTGTTAATCTACTTTCATCCTCACATTTAATTACATAATACACATCTCGAATCTGCATTGCTAATTTCATCCATATACTTACATAGATGTGTCTGAAGCCTTATGTATGGGTGCATTATCTCACAAAAAGCAACATTTTTGCTGTTGAGTATGGCACGTGTTTTTTTTTTTTTTTTTTTTTTTTGTATGGCTTGTTGGAATTTGTCAACAAGTTAGCCTGACAAACATCTGTTATCTTAGTGCTGTGAAGCAAATCTTGAGTGATCAATGACTCTCTTCATGGTGAAATGAATGGTGACCAAAATCCGGCCAGTTTACTTTTATGTTCTGATCTTGTAGTCAGATCTGTGTTTTTACATTATATTATCCTTTTTAGTTTTTCTCTAATATTTTTAGAGGCCCATGTAGCATATACCCATAGCATATCTACTTTCTCATACAATTTTTTTCTACTAACCCAATATTTTTGCCTATTTCCATATCACATTCTAGCTCTTTATAATATACTCTGGCTTTTCATATTCGTTTCTTTAGTGCTTATGACCCACTGCTTCCTTTGGATGGTCTTCAAATGATACTTTCTCTAGCCAAAATAGAACAGCCTGTCTTTTGACCATGACAAAGAAAGGGGAATATATGTTAAACCTTTTTTGTCTAGAATTTAAGTGTGGAATGGTCTTTGATGTTTTCATTACTGGTTATTGCTTTTCAGAACCTCACAAAAATCAGCTGAATGACAATTAGCAACAGTCCTTATATTAATTGCTTCAGAAGGATGAAATATTCTTTTGTTGCATTTCATGATCCAGCAAAATTCTAGAATGTCTTGAACACTCTGCATATGAAACTATCTTATTAAATAAGAAATTCTTTTCCTCCTTTGTAAACTGAAAAGTGGAAAAATTATTTTTCAGTAACATATAGTATGCCTTTCTTTTAAATTATATTTTTCTCATTATATTTTATCTAAACTTTGCAGGTTTGCATGTGCGCTTCTTAGTAACTGATTTTCCAAAAGTATTTTAGTAAGTATTGGATTTTTTAAATTATTGGATTTTTAAAACCTGGAAATTGTATCTATATACAATCTTTTGAAAAAAAATCGAAGCACCATGAAGGAAGTGGTTGTTTTTGATGAAATTGAATATGTATATTAGCTCATACACAGATAATAAAATGATTAAAAAATCAAGGTCATAGTACCTGTTCACAGCTCACAATCACCTATTAAGTGTTCAAATTAGTAGTTGGTTGAACCACCCATGGCGGCAATGCATGCTTAAATTCGTCAAGGAAAGGAGTGGTAGAGGTTTCTAATGTCATCCTGTGACACATTCTGCCAGGCATTCATCAGTTGTCGCTCCAGATCTGCAATATTTTGTGGTGCCCGAATCTGGTGGCCTACTATGTCCCAGACATGCTCGATTGGTGAAAGGTCTGGTGACCTTGTTGGCCAAGAAGGAGTATCAACCGCACGGAGACAGTCCAGAGATATGTGAGTGGTATGTGAACTGGCATTATCTTGGGAAAATGGCCCCAGGATGACATACCATGAAGGGTAATGCAACCAGCCGCAGGATGGTATCAACATTTTGTTGAGCTATGAAAGATGTACAGAGGTCAACTAAAGATGACCTGCTGTCATATGAAATAGCACCTCACACCATCACACCAGGGGTTATGGCTATATGTCTTTGTTTTACAAAGGCTGATTGGGACCGCTGGCCCCGTCCTCTCCAGGCATGAACACGGTGGTCATCTGCTTCAAGAGTGAAGCAGGATTCATCATTGAACACCATACGATGCCAGTCATGATGATCCACTGCGACACCACTCCAGACGACTCCGCCGATGTTGTGGGGTCAAAGGCAAACGTATTAAAGACCTCTGTGAGCGTACCCTGCCTCAGACAAGCACCGCGAGATGGTGGACGGTACCACAGGACATATAGACATGGCTGTAGTGCATTGAATAATCGGCAATGATACCATTGGAGTGGTTTGAGTCTGAGGAACATCATCCTATTTGGCCTTGCATTTGTGCTCCTTTTCCTTCCAGAGCTTTTATTTCATCAGCAGTTTCTTTGTAGCAACCATTGCTGCCAACATCTTTGCGCAGCAGTGTCTGTACGCTGCAGGTGGTGGCCTATTGCTCGGTATGACTACCCAGCTATACGCAACCCTACAATGCGAACACGCTTTTAGCATTTAGCTGTCTGTAAGGTCTTCGATATCGTCATAATGGCATCTTTAGTTGCTTCTTTACAGAGTTAAATAGCAGCAACAAAAAAAGATAAATTTTCCGCCTCTGTTACTGGTTTTATATTTTGCGAATTGCGTACTAGAAATGCGTGTTATGATCACAGTTCCTGTTCATTTGTCTTGAAACTTTTATCATTTGCATATTCAATCAAGATGTTTTTGCATACTAATTTTTATCATAATTGCAAAAATCCTTCTTGGTGCTTTGATTTTTTTTGCAAAAGAGTGTATTTTATGTATTAAAAATTTATTTACTTTGTAATAACTTTTATAGTAATATGTATATATATATAAATGTAATAGTAATATAATATATATACATAAATAAATGTAATAACTTTTGTAGCCTATTAATATAAATAAATTGAGATCTTTATATAGGAATATTTTTGCTGAAAAGAACAATATAAAAGTGCTAGGCTTTTTTGAACCTTTCATGATTATGTTTCTTCATATTGGCTTTTTTTGAGAAGCTATTACCTTTTTATGATATATGTTTTTAACTTTTTATTTTTCTTCTTCATGTCTCTTAAAATATATATAATTATTTCTTGTTTTATAAATAGTTATAATATTTATATTAGTTTCAATAACATGGTTAAAGAATTTTCGTATTCTAAAATTCAGATGTTTAAAACTATTGTATTGAAATGGGCTAACTACTTTATTAAACTGAGAACAGCAAATGCATATTTTTGTTTAAAAATAAATGCATATAAATGCATTTTCCAAGTTATTCTTAATGTTTTACTCTAAGCTAGAGAGACGGTGTTCTATAAAATGTATATAAGAGAATTACCATATTTGACGGCATATAAGACGCATCCTTATTTAGAAGGCCACACACAGGAAAAAAGTTTCAATAGTCCGCGCAACAGCGCGGTACCACAATAACTTAAAATGTGGTTTCTTTTAGTTCTCACGTTTCGCAAAAGCCAAATAAACAATCATTGAATGCAATTACCAAACATATTTTTATTAAGGAAAATTAACAAATGGCAAGGTATTTTGAACATGATATGTAAATTTCAATAATGAATAAATGAATGAATGGCAATCAAACATAATACAAAATAAAGCAGAAACAACAAAAAACACAGGTTCAAGGAAAATGTTGCTTATCATGAAATTAGACTTTAATCACTTTCAAAACCATAAAAAATCCGTTTCATTATCATCATCATTGAAAACGAGAATATCGTCATCACTAGTATCTCCTTCTTCGAATAATGCGTCATCTTCTGTTCCCTCAAGAGCATTACTGATTCCGCACTTCTTAAAGGACTTAACAATTACTTCAGCCTTTACGTCCTCCTAAGATCTTAAGATCTTTTTACCCACTCGCACACTTGTGAAATATAGGGCCACTTCATTCTACCTGAAGGTGTGAGGGTGTGATGTGTCTCTCCTATCCACTTGTTCCATCGTTCTCACACTTTTTCCTTAAATGGCTTATTCATCGATACATCTAAAGGCTGCAATTGGCTAGTCAGTCCACCAGGAATGACAGCTATCTGGGTTTTTAATTCTCTCGCTTTATTCTTTATGGTTTCAGTTCTATGGGCACTAAACTGATCCAAAACCAAAAGAGAGGGTTTTCTTAAGAGTCCACCAGGTCGCCTTGCCCATACGTTCTGTAACCACAGTTTTATTCCAACTTCATCCATCCAGCGTTTTGGATGAACATGAACAATTACACCCGTTGGAAGTTTTTTAGTAGTCTTCAGTTGATCTCCCAGCAGTCGGCAAGTACGTATCATTTTTTCGGTAGGTGGTGGACCGAAATGCCTTGCTGCTGCTTTGTTTCCATGCACTTTGGCGTAGTTTAACACTCCTAGTTTATACTGAATTGTGTAGCTTAATCTCTTGTTTCCTGTAGTCATATTTTCCAGGGTATTTTTTTAAAACAAATAGTTTTAAGCACCAATACCTACACGTTTATACAGAGTAGCACCGATACCGACACGTGTGTCGGCTGAGTCAAAGAAAGTGTATGTAAAGAAGAAAAGGCTCTATAGACGTAACGTGACCTTCGAACCTCAACATAAGCTTCAAGCTATGGCGCTTCTTGGCAACAGATATTTCACATATGCGCAAAATAATTTTGGCAGATGTAGAAAAAGTTATGTGTATCCTAGACCTTTATCCAAGCTAAAAATAGCATTCAGTATTGAAAGTTAACCTGTGTTCTTCACGTATAAGACGCAGGTAGCTTGAGACCAAATTTAGGAAAAAAAGTGCGTCTTATATGCCGTCAAATAAGGTACTGTGTTTAAATCTTGTCTTATTCTTTGAAAATATTCTAAAAGTGCATATCCAGTACAAGTTTGTTTTTGTCGAAAAAATATTTTACTATCACAGTACTATTATTCAAACATAGGAATTTATCTGTTACAGTTCAGAGAAAATTTTATCAGAATTTAGTCAAATTCTAAGGCAATTTAATGCAATTTCCATTGAATAATTTTAATTATTTTTTTTATTTCTAGCATTAAGAATGGAGTAGCACATGAAGTTTTGAAAGTTAATCGGCAAACATTAATTGATCTAATTAAAGATAAAAAATGGGACAAGTTAAAGGCAGTCAATTTCTTAAGTAACCCATTTTCTGTTCAGTAAGTATTTTTTCATGGCTGTTCAAAATGCACTTGTCAAGTTTTACAATATGCATTTAAATGCATATTGTAAAATACTTTTACAAGTCTATGTACTTGCATTTATTAAAACTAGTCTTTTAAATAAAATATAGTGACAGTATATTTTGTTATATAATATCTGAAAGTTGTGAAAATATAATCTTTTGCTTGGTCAATATATGGCAAGTCACTGTAAGATTAGTGGCTGTTAAAGAATGTGATTAAAATCTCTTTTAAATATTTAGCAGTAAATGATACATATAGGTTCTGGTCTTTGATCTACTGAAATTACCATTCGCTTGTGGATTAAAGAATAGATCCCATATATATTGTTTATGACTAAAAAAGGAGAACACATCAGATGAGAATTAATTTAAAATGAGTGCCACATATGTGGGGTAAAAGATGTCTATTTTAAAATGCAGTATACATGTTTCCATGCAGAGCATTTGAGTGCCAAAAATAGTTGACATTCCTTGCCCTTTGCTCTTAATATATTTTCTTACTTCCCAATTTTTGGAATGTGGCCTGAAAATTTTATTTTACTTTTTTTTTCTTTCTTTTCTCCTTTTTTTTTTTAACAAAAAGTAAGATGTCTTTTTCCAGAACATAAATGAAAGTTCTCTTCTTCCTTCGAAATCTCTGTGGTTATATCTCCTGTTATGTCCCATTTCAAGCTTTCCCAAATTAGGCTTTCAGGAACAAAACAGGTCGTTTCGACACCGTACGTTTCGACACCGGGGCAGTTTGACGCCATATTTTTTTTAGTATTTTTATTTATTTTTAGAATAAATATGAAGTAATATAAATAAGTAATATGACTGATTTTTATTTATTGAATTAGCAATTGTTTGCATGCATATTTGAAATAAATATATGTGTGTATATGTGCGAAAGTGTTCTAGATTTTTGTTTGTGTCCCAGATTAGTGAGAACCCCTCTCGCCAATGTCAAGGCCCCGGGACATGAAGGAGGTTTTTTTTTTATTTATTTATTTCAGAAAACAGTATCAAAAAGGCAAAATACACAAATGGTAAAAAAAACATATGGTTACAAAGTAGTTATATTATATTGCAGACAAATATAATTACAGGTAAATAAGATTACACATAAATAAGATTAGAGATAAATTAGATTACATCACAGAACTGTTATTATACTAATCCATTGCAAAGTTATGCTTCACACTTTTCAGGTATTCCATTATTTCTCGGATTTTCAAAATCTTCAACTATTACTTTAATTCTCATATCAGCTCGCAGATACCTATTCCGCTTGTGCGGCGGTTCATCTCCACGTACAAATTGTTCATAACATTGATCAATTGATTTTTGAACACGCCTGAGACCATCTATGAATTCCCATAATGTGGGGTGTGAAACACCAAATGATGATGACACCAAATTTATTTGAATGATGGTGCAAACTTATTCTAAAAATAAATAAAAATATTAAAAGTATGGCGTCAAACAAGAACAAAAAAAAGTATGGTGTCAAACTGACCCCGCGTCGAAACGACCTCGTGTCGAATTGACCAATGCGTCGAACTGTTGGTGTAGAAACGTTCGCATCGAACTGACCTGTACCGTTCAGGAAAGGGGAACAAAAGTCATCTAATTTGGGATTTTCTCAAATTATCTTCTGGAGGTGTTTTGGATAAGAAGATCAAGAATCATACCTTCTTAGGCATTCTGTTTTTAAACTTTGATTATAGTTTATAGGAAGAAATTGGGGGAGGGGGACACTGGTGTTCAAAGAAAAGACCTGGACTAAATAAAGCATGTATTATTTAGGATTATTGTCAGTTTTAAGCATATCTGTCAAGGAAAAGCCTGATTTTTTTCATGTAAATGGCTGAAATTGATTTTTTTTTTTTTTTTTTAACTTCTATCTACAGCATATAGGGGTTATAACTATCATTTCAAATGAAAACATATATCTAAAAACTCGAGATGGGTCCACTGAAAATCAGGTTGTTTCAGAAGTTTGCAACTCAATGAAAGCAATACAATATTAAAGAAGAAGGAACATATGTGTGCCCTGGATATTGCTAAAGTGGAAGATCTAAAATGCTTTGATGTATGTAAGAAACATGCCAAAGCAGAATGAACATCTGTATCAAGTATAGGAAGAAGAGGATTTAGTAAAAATTTTTTGTTCTTCACTTTGAGAATAAATTCATAACTATTTTTCCATTTAGTGATTTTATGACTGTGTGCATTTAAAAAACTGCAATTTGTGGAGCTGTAATCATAAATTTTAAAGCTGAATTTCAGAAAAAAATTATCATAGTGTGTAAGTAAAATCAACTGTATCTTGGAATGTGAAAACAGCGACATTGCTTATTAAAATTAAGAGCTGTCACTTGCATGATTGCCAAATTTTGGTGACTTCTGTAAGGTGGTTCCACTAATACATAAATACCAAATGATGTTAAATATCTGTGAAAATATGGTTTAAAAATTCTGAATCACCTATTGTATATAATAACCAAACAATAATAAAAATGCAACAGATAAAAGAATCATGGATTACCTTTCAATGGAATGGCAGAGTATAATAAAGACAGCTTTGCAGCTTAGCAACGCCTTCAATAGATGAGACTTATGCATATGAAGGCATCTTGTCCATTGTAAAGAATCCCTTTCCTCATTCCTTCTTAGCTTGAGGATTAAATTTTTGCATTATATCATGTGAGTTAAGTTTACATTGCATCTGAGTATTTTAACATGTATATAACAATATATATTAATTAAAGATATTTAAATGTTTGATGATCAGCATTAATTTTCTAAAAATATTCAGCAAACGGAATTTTACCCTAAAATTTATAGTTTTATTTAAAAAGTAAGCTTCAAGCCTAGGAAATGCTTATTTAATATTTTGCTTTTTTTTTTTTTTTTTTTTTTTTTTTTTAAGTTTCCTATAAATTAGGTTTGGCAACAAAATTCCATCATTCTTCAAAATAAAATCATTGGGTGGTGAAAGGGGTGTCTTGAAGACAAATGATAAACTCTTTTCCCCTCAGCAAACAATCGCCAAAAGCAAAATAACAAATAAAGCAACCCTTGGTTTGCCCCTATTTGAAATATACTACCCCTGTTGCTATAGTGACCACCAGACACTTTGGCAGGAGCTGTTCTTCTCGTAGACAGACAGTATAGCATCTTTCAATTGGTACCAATCTACACATATGTGTTTTTCCTAACTTCAGTTTTTCATGCATGCTCATAGTTCATGTTTCTTCAAGTAGTGAAAATTTCTGCTTTTAAATTACAGTTGTTTTTCATTGAAAATATCTATAATGCTTATTATTTTCAATCTACTATCAACTGTTTTGAAAATAGACATAATATGCGATTATATGTGTAAAAAGAAATCATTTGGGGATGCTTTGTGAGCAGCGTTAAAAAGAAGAAACGTCTTGCTGATAATTGGTTTAGCAGATCAGAAATATCCTTTCTTATGGCATTGTGGTTTTTTTTACTGTTGGAGGGAGAAACTTATTTCAGTCTCGTGTGTGACAAACTATTAAGCATGGGCAAAACAACAGTCATCATCTGAAATAGTTGCATGAGGAAAGTCAGTTCCTAATTTCTCACAGAATATTCAGACAAGAAAAACAGGAAGAAATGATAAAATCATGGAAATTGAGGAGTCTGTATTCATAAAACAAAAGAATAACTGTTACAGCAATGGATTTTAGACAGCATTTGCTGCAGTTTATTGAAGAAACGGGTTTCCATCACTACAATGAATCATAAATATGAGTTTGTGAATTCTGCTACTAGAATTCATTCAAGTAGGAATGCTTGTGAGGATCAGTAAAATGACTGAACAAAAGGCACAAATGTACTGTTTACCATCACCTAGAGTCCTATCTAGTAGAGTTCACTTTCAGGCATCAAGTCCGTCGTGATAATGTGTTTGTAGCAGCAACTGCTGAACTGTGGTCTCCAGAAAGAGTTTGTAAAATGTTAATTTTTCAGCATGTTTATGAATGTTTTAATAAATTGATAAAAAAATTGCATACTCTGATAAATTACATACCTTAAAATTTATAATTTCATTCAAAATTAATAAGCATAATGACTGTTTTAGAATAAAAAATTGCTATGTCGACAGAATGCAACCAGTTACATCATTAATCTTTATTTCTCACACATGCACAAATCATTAACCGTTTGTTTCTCCTCAGTGCAGAAACATGTAAAATTAACATTCTTGCTGCTGCAGGAAACAAGTATTCAAAACCACTTGTTATTTTTTTACAGTTCTTTCTTTTCATTTTTATATCTCCAAAACACATCATTTACTTTGATTGTGAAGGCAACTAAGACCCTTTCCCTTACTCGGGAACTTGAACTTTTAAGAAAATTTCATCATTAAACCAGTTCCAGGAATTCCCCCCCCTTTTTTTTTCTTCTATGTAAATTTTTGGCCTTAAAGTATATATAGATATAAAAAGAAAATAAAAAGAAAGTGAAAAACTTTTGTTTTTAAAAATTGGTAATTTTAGATTTTAAATCAGAGCAGAAATTAAGATTTTAAAAGAGTGGTACTTAAAGTGAGGATTTATGAAAGCACAAGTTAAGTACATTTTATTTTACTATGGATTTTAGTCTGTTGGTTTGGTTAATTTGGTTTGGTGTATTTTTGGAGGAGGTGTTTATTTTATTAGATTTGGTGCATTGCAGATGGAGAATATTTTAAGCATAAAAGTTGAAGCTGCTGTAGAGGGTCACTGGTTATTTTAATGATGTAAAGTTTTTAATTTAATTTTTCAAGCCTTTATTGTGCATAAAATTTGGACACTCATACCTCTACAATTTTTAACTTTTAAGGATTTGTATGTGCTACATATGTGCATTTGATATTTTTCATAATAAAACATATGGAGAGTACCAATTCTTAATTTTCCTTCAGAACTAAATAAAATGACTCCATATTGAAGAAACAATCATTTATTACCTTAAACT